ATGTTGTAGTTGAAGTAATAATTACACAAACACAGTTACATAATCATCTAAGAACTAGATATAAATATAAGTAACTACAGCAGCAAAAACCGCAAATGGGTCAAAGGATTACAAATTCATTTTTTCAGTCTTTATTCCAACAAGTATTTACTGAGTGCTTATTGCTTATTATGTGCCAGGCTCTTATGGGCTAATGCCTTGATGAAATCATCCTAGTGTTTCCAAATACACATGTTGTTTAAGATAGCATGTTCTATGAGTATGCAAGTGCTATGCAGAGTACATCAACTACGTGACAAAACAAAACAGCAAGAAACTCTTAAAAGGGAGAGACCATAATTTTAAGTCATTTCAAAAGCTAGTTTATGTGAAGGTAGAGAATCTGGCCAAGATAATAACAAATTACATTTTATTCAGTGCACAAGAAACTAGCACAGCTGCCTGAAGGAAAATGTGCCCTGGGATTGTGTACACAGGGCAAGGCCAAAGGACAGCCACATATTCCAAGTAGACCCTAAACAGGGGGTTTATTGGAGTCCTTTCCAAAGATCATGGCAGATTTTCAGCCATAACATAACAAGAATTCCAGCCAAAATTGGGAGTGATGGAAACTGTCAAATGTCTTTGGATATTTTGTGGAGATTAATCCCTTGGCTGAGTAGTCTCTGATGAGTGGAGGAGAATAATTCAGAGTCGCTGAATACCCTTGTTCTTAACTGAAGGGGCAGGATATCAGTGAGGTAAATTAACTCCAGTGCATTTATAGTTTATTTACAACTAAACTGCAAAGCCTCAATCTCATCCATATTCAATCAGAGAAAATTGTGGCTCATCCAAGACAAGACGTGAGCCAAATTTGGGGCGAGGGTGACATCATCTGAAAGGACTGGAAATGAAGTGTAAATTTGAATATCATCTGTATGTAAGTGATAATTAAAGCTGTGAGGCTCAATACGTGCCAAGAGAGACAGTCAATAAAAGTGAAGTACAACAGAGACCCAAGCCATGTGTTACTTCTGAGATGGAGATTTATTTTTTTNAACAAGATTTGACCCCAAGCAGTCTGACTCCAGAGTCCCCATTCTCAGTTACTACACTATAAGGCCACTAAGTGTGAGTGAATATTTTTTAATAGTCATAATTCTCATTTTAATGAATACATTCTCCTCTGTGTTCTCAGTTAGTAAGAAACTAAGCTACTTTCTTGACACTGATAGAATCATGCTTCTGAGTCTGCAGAGCTGAAGACCAGACCCCAACAGATGGTAACTTCATTTAGGTAATACCATACCAGGCAACAAAGCTTCCCTGATGTCACCTGCTCCGTGGTCATACCTTCAAGTCACAATAATATACGTAATATATTTGTATAAACAGAGAAAGAGATCTTGTCAAAAGACTATACATTTCCTTAGAACATCTTCAGGCCAGAAGCACAAGGGTAGGAACAAATGNAGTTAAATATTAATTGACTGTAAATGTGAAGATTTCTTTCTAGACTCTTCATTCTATTGCACCACCCTTACATGAGGGTACTTCAGAAGGTTCAGGGGACTGGATGGTTAGCTCAATTGGTTAGACCACGGTGCTGGTAACACCAAGATCTAGGGTTTGGATCCTAATACCTGCCAGCTGCCAAAAAAAAAAAAAAAAAGTTCATGGAAAAATACAATTGAAAGATAACACGCATCTTTCCACGAAGTTGTGAGTGCCCTCATGTCTATCCTTACGCAAACACCACACTGTCTTGATTACTGAAGCTTTATAATAATTTTTCAAATCACAAGTGTGAGTCCTGCTACTTTGCTCTTCTTCATCAAGACTGTTTTGGCTCTTCTGGGTATCTCGTATTTCCATATGAATTTTAGGATTAGTTTCTTAATTTCTCCCAAAAAAATACTTAGATTTTGACAGGGATTGTATTGAATCTGTACGTCTATGCGCTGGCCCACTTTTTATCCAGTGAGGAGCCAGCACCCCCAAAGCAGGGCTTCTCGCTCTAACCTCAGGCTGCTGGTATTGCCACTGCTGTACTATAGTATTTGGGGGGCCGTTTAAATGCCAACGGAGTGACACTATAATCAAATCTTGTTTATTGAAGAAAGTATATATTCTCATATCTTCTTTTTGTCTTTTTCTATGTCCGGCAACGGATCGCAACCCTCAGTGTCGCCCCCGTACCGGACCGGGACCGGCAATGGGATCGCAACCCTCGGCGTTGCTCCCGCGCCTCGCTCAGCCAGTGAGCGGGAACCGGTCTGCATGTGGGATCCGAACCCTCGGCGGGAGCACCACCGCGCTTCCCAAGCGGCGCACCATAGCAGTGCGCCACCGGGCCGGCCCTCTCATATCTTCTAAAAACAATGTAGATCACTATCATTTTTCTTTCTCACCGAGTCTGACTTTCTGCTCTCTACTGCATTGGATGAATGCTCACCTAGCTGGTCCAGCTTCTGGCAGAGGACTGGTCAGACCGCTGTGATCTCACTAGGATGGTGCGATACGGGGAGCTCCCATCTGTGGCTTTCCTTCCCTCTTCCCCAGCTCCCAGAGTGGAGTGATGCTGATAAATGACCAGGAAATGTGCAGACACCTCTGGGGAGGACTGGCAGTCCTCACACCTGCTGTCGAGGGCACTGGTTATTCCTGAGGGAGACTGCGGGGCTCCAGCACCCATCAGAATAACTGCAAAGATGCTTTTTTTGTTTCCATTTTATTTCCTACCAAACAACAAGGGGAAAACGTTAACAAACAGAATTTGGTCCATTTTAAGCTTGTTTCCCATACAATTTTCTTAAACTTTTGGTACTACTAACACATTTATCTTCTGGCAAAAACTTGCAGCAACAAAAAGGAGTAAAGTGTTCAAGGAAAATCCACAGGAAGGTAGGGAGATGGCAGGTTGTATATGGACTCTGACTGCTGGCCCTGTCACAGATTTAAATGTGACTGTGGCTCAAGACTTTTACTGGATGCATGAAACACTGCTGAGAAAATTAAGGGTAACTGGAGTTTCTAAGCCTCTGCACAGAGCATCATTAACCCTGGAGCTCCACCCAGATTGCACCTGAGAAAGCAACCTGTGCATCATTGTAGAATCCACCTTGATCCAACTGTGAGTTGCTGGGAAACAACACAGCTCCTCTGAAGTTGTCCATCCAAACAGTAGTGGCTGTGACAGCTTCCGAAGCAAAAAGTGGTGCCTCACCTGCTGCCACCCACAAAGGAGGCAATAGCACTAACCAGTTTATAATAGCAAAAAAGAAAGAAACACCTAAATGACCAATAATAAGAGACTGATTACATAACTTGTAGACCGTTTATTTTACAGTCTATTATGGTGCTATAAAAAATGATAATGCATAAGTTTGTTTATTGTTGCATATAAGCATTTGATATATATTGTTAAATGGAAATTATGAACTATAAAAAATAGAATCTATAAGTGGACCTCATTTGGTGAAAATCAGGTGTATCTCTTTAGATTATCAGCATGGAGAAAAGTGTGGAGAGACGTACATTGAGTGCGACAATCATCATGTCTGGGCAACAGCATTTTTGATCATTTTGATGTTTTCTTTTCACTTATCTTTAATTTCCTGTTAGTTGTCGCGCCATGATGCTTCATCTCTTCCGACTCAACATTGTTTTCTGAGATGGAGACACATTGTTGAACGTGGATCTTACTCACTCCTTCTAGGGGTAGTGTCACAGGTTAAACTGTGTTCCCCTCTAAAATTTGCATGCCAAAGCCCTATACCTCAGTACTTCAGAATGTGACTATATTTGGAGATGGGGCCTTTAAACAGGTAATTAGGTTAAAATGAGGTCACTAGAGTGGCCCCTAATCCAATATGACTGGTGTCCTTATAAGAAGAAATTAGAGCACAGACACACACAGAAGGAAAACCATGTGAAGACACAGGGAGAACACAGCCATCTGTAAGCCAAGGAGAGAGGCCTCAGAAGAAACTAGCCCTGTGGACACCTTGACCTCGAACTTCTAGACTCCAGAACTGCACAAAAATAAATTTCTGTTGCTCAAGCCATCCAGTCTTCAGTACTTTGTTATGGCAGCCCTAGCAAACTAATATACGCAGCAAAGTATTCCACAGAATGCAAATACCACAGTGTTTTTAGCCGTTCTTCTCATGGTGAACATTTAGTTTGAAACTAAGCACAAATACACATCCTTGCACATGGCTGCTTGTGCGTACAGGTGGGAGTTTCCCTGGGGTAAATACCTAGAGGTGAAATGACTGTGTTACAGGGGATGCATATTTCCAAATTTACAAGGTGCAGCCAAATTGCTCTCTAAAGTTACACTCTAAATAAGAGCAAGTAAGGGTCCCAGTTCCCCCGTGGCCTCGCCAACATCTGATAGTCTCAAACCTAAAAATTTCTGCCAATATGATTGGCAAAATATCTTATTTTTGTTTTAATTGCAATTCCTTAATTATGTATAAAGTTAAATATTTTTAATATGCATATTTCCTATTCTTTTCTCTTCTATAAATTCTCAGTTTATATCCTTTGCCAGTTTTTTCTTTGGGTTGTATGTCATTTTCTACCTCTGTGGGAATTCTGTACATTCTCGATAATAATCCTCTGCCTGCTAGATATTCTGCAAATATATTTCCCAAGGCTACAACTTGTCTTTTAA